AAACTGACGTCAAATGATTAAAGAATAGAAAATATACACTCACCTAAAGGATTGTAGGAACACCATACGGTGGTTGACCCTCTTTTACCTTCAGACCTGTCTTAATTCTACGTGGCGTGGATTCAACAAGGTGCTGAAAGCATTCTTTAGAAATGTTGGCCCATATTGATAGGATAGCATCTTGCAGTTGGAGATTTGTGGGATGCACATCCAGGGCACGAAGATCCCGTTCCACCACATCCCAAAGATGCTCTATAGGTTTGACTGTGGGGACCATTGTAGTACACTGAACTCATTGTCATGTTCAAGAAACCAGTTTTTAATGATTGGAGCTTTATGACATGGTGTGTTATCCTGCTGGAAGTAGCCATCAGAGGATGCGTACACAGTGGTCATGAAGGGATGGACAAGGTCAGAAACAATGCTCAGGTAGCCCATGGCATTTAAATGATGCCTAATTGGCACTAAGGGGCCTAAAGTGTGCCAAGAAAACATCCCCCACACCATTACACCACCACCAGCAGCCTGCACAGAGGTAACAAGGCATGATGGATCCATGTTCTCATTCTGGTTACGTCAAATTCTGACTCTACTATTTGAATGTCTCGATCGAGATTCATCAGACCAGGCAACATTTTTCCAGTCTTCAACTGTCCAATTTCGGTGAGCCCATTTCCCATTCTGACATTCAGTTTGGAGTTCAGGAGAGCAAGACTCCAAGGGTGGATGAGATCTGCCCGAAGTTCCTTAAGGCTCTGGATGTTGTGGGGCTGTGTTGGCTGACGCGGCTCTGCAATATTGCGTGGACATTGGGGGCAGTCCCACTGGACTAGCAGACCGGGAGGTGGTTCCCTTATTTAAAAAGGGGGGCCACAGGGTGTGTTCCAACTACAGGGGGATCACACTCCTGAGCCTTCCTGGTAAGGTCTATTCAGGGGTTCTGGAGAGGAGGGTCCGTTGGATTGTTGAACCTCAGATTCAGGAGGAGCAATGTTGTTTTCGTCCTGGCCGTGGAACACTGGACCAGCTCTATACCCTTAGAGGGATCCTGGAGGGTGCGTGGGAATTTGCCCAACCAGTCTATATGTGTTTTGTGGATTTGGAGAAGGCGTTTGACCTCGTCCCTCGGGGGACCCTGTGGGGGGATACTTCCGAAGTATGGTGTACCAGGCCCTCTGATACGAGCTGTTAGATCCCTGTATGACCGGTGTCAGACCTTGGTCTACATTGCCGGCAGTAAGTCGGGCTCGTTCCCAGTGAGAGTTGAACTCCGCCAAGGCTGCCATTTGTCACCGATTCTGTTCATAACCTTTATGGACAGGATTTCTAGGTGCAGCCAAGGTGTGGAGGGCATCCATTTTGGTGGCCTGAGGATCAGGTGTCTGCTTTTTGCAGATGCTGTGGTCCTGTTGGCTTCATCAAAACGTGATCTTCAGCTTTTGCCGGAGCGGTTCGCAGCCAAGAGTGAAGCAGCTGGGATGAGACTCAGCTCCTCTAAATCTGAGACCATGGTCTAGATTCGGAAAAGGGTAGAATGCCTTCTCCGGGTCAGGGATGAGGTCCTACCCCAAGTGGAGGAGTATTTTTTTTTCTTTTCCCCGTGCCCTGTCTGGCTGTGAAGCAAACAGAATTGATGCCTGAATGCTGGTGACAAGCCTTACAGATTTACTCTCAGGTGGAATATCAAAGTGTCCGCTTTTAATGTCACGCCTGATACTTAAAACTTTATAGTTATCGTTTGTGAATGCTTTGTAATTCCGACCATACACGGAGTCAGAGGTGAAAGAGAAAGGATAAAAGACAAAAAGTGTGTGTGTGTGTGTGTGTGGGGGGGGGGGGGGGGGGGTTAATCAATAATGAACAAGAGTCTGCTTCTAGACCTGCAGAATGAGAAAGAAGAGAATAAATAAAAAAAATAAAAAAAATGGGACACACAACAATACAACAAGAGCAAGCTATCACTGCGTCAACTTGAAGAAATATACAATCAACATTGTTTAACTGAACAATCACGATAATATCTTAGGTGTGTTCTTGCTGTGTCTTTCTAAATCCATGCTTTCGTTCTTTTTTAAACACAGAAACAGTTTTGTTTACCTGTTTGTAGCTACAGTTTCGCCGACGGCTGCCGGCTTCTTCAGGCTGACGCTGATGGTGGCGCGTCACCATCAGCGTCAGCCTGAAGAAGCCGGCAGCCGTCGGCGAAACTGTAGCTACAAACAGGTAAACAAAACTGTTTCTGTGTTTAGAAAACAACGAAAGCATGAATCACGATAATAAATCATAGTGCATTTAGTGGCAACGGCAGCCTTAAGACATGTGTTGAACTTGCCCAAGCCCATACTTATGAGAGCACCATGTGAGCACCTGTGTGTGTGCATGCACTTGTTTATGTAAGGTTTCTTTATAAAAGCGTCTAGTAGAGAGTGTGAGGGGCCACAGATCTGCCCCCCAAAGATGTGTAGGAGACGGAGGGAGCTCCAAGTCCCAGAAATCCAGGCGCTGCCCCAGAATACAGGAACCCCAAGGAGACTGCAACCAAAAAGGCCCCTGCCCTCCTCGAGAGGCACAGAGGATTGCCCGGGGGGGGGCACAACCAGCAGCCGGCAGAGTCCCGGGAGATATCAGCGGAAAGCCCACAGGCCCGCCTGCAGCCTCCCACCCCCTAGCCGGCTGAGCCCGGGACCCAGCGACCCGGGACCCAGCGACCCGGGACCCAGGGGCGACCACCCCCGCCGGGGACCCAGCAGAGCCCAGGGACCAAGACCCCACCAGGCAGCCACTGGGATTGGTCAGGCAGACGCCAAAAATCTTAAACCCCCTCAACCGGGAACCACGAACAATCAGGCAGACCAAGGCTCCACACTCCACACCAGGTGTGGCAGGGGGAGGGGAGACGAAGATCTATATCATCAAAAGATGTCCCAGGAGAAGGGAGGAGCCAAAGGCCCTACCTGACATATACAGTCATAGACAAACACAGTCATACACTCCCTCCCTCATGCTCACACATACACATACAACCAAAGACTTACAAAAATGCACGCCGGACACCCACTCATGCTCCCCATACACACCCTATTCACTCTGGTCCCAGTACTGCTGCACATGGGGTACAACCATTACCGGTTCCCAGAGTTTTACCCTTTCTGCTGGGGTGCTGATGAGCAGGCTCCCCCACCCAACGCTGAGCACAGCAACCCACCACCCCAGACTCCACCCAGACGGCCAGATCTCCCTCCTAGCCTCCAGCCCCAGGAAGCCAAGCAACAACAGAGGTGTGCTAAGACCCCTAGTCTCCCTCCGCCTGCTCCAATATAGTGTTAGTGTGTTGATGAGGTGTATTCCATGGCTGTGGTGAGCGGGCAGTGTGGGCATTGTCTGGCCTATGCCAGCTGATGCCACCACACCACCCCACTTGCACCCACAGTCCTCGGTGTCTAAGTGCAGTTTAAAATTGGAAGTGGGCACTGGCACTCGGGATGAGGATGAGAAATCCCCCTGCCAACTGCTGTTGAATGTGCTCACTCCCAAGGCCCTAAGTGCGTGTTTGCGTGGAATGTCGTTGGTGGAAGTGTTTAAGGTGCAAATAAAATTGGGGGTCAGGTTGCCACAGGAATGCGAAGATGGGTCCATACCCGCACTCCCTGACTTATCCACCCCCATGTGATGGGACGGCAGAGGAGCCAAGGTCTACCCGAGGCCCCTGAACCCAGGCCAGGCACTGCTGCATGTTCCTGCCTTCTTCCTGGCAAATACATGTCAGGACCCGACCCCAAAGGCCCCGCCCAGATCCCCACACAGGGCCGGCCACCCCCACACCCCAAGCCCCAGATCCCCACCCAGACCCGCCCAGGGGCAATGCAGCTGCCAGGCAGCGACCCATGGCCGCCACCAAGACCTCCAAGGGGCCCTACTCACAACCGCCAGTAGTCCACCCCCCGAGGCAACCCAAGCACCTCTAGAGGGGGGGAACAGCCCCCCAGTCCTAGACACCCCCAGTGAACCCACCTCCAGGGCACGTCCGGATACTCCAAATTCAGACCCTCCACCCCCTCACCCACATCTGAGCATGCGCTGACGGCCGATCACCGGACACATGGCAGCGTTTGAAGCAGATGGCAGCTCGTTAACCAACTTCCACAAACAATTAATACACATTTTTGCCTAATTTATTCACTGACAACGCAAAAAAAAAATCTGGTAAATATAACACACTCAGCCTGGAGGTAAGTGGAGAAAATTTAAAAAGTTTGCAAACATATATTGACAAAGTTTTTGAGTTTTTTGTCGTGGGACCGAAGAAAGCAGCAGCTGAGACGGAAACACCTGGGACCAAGAGGAGCCGTCCCCAGGACTCGCCCGAGGCCTCATCTCCCCGTAAGGTTGTCCTAGATTTACTAAAAATCCATAGATAAATGGCTTCTGGGATTTGAGGGGCAACTGCATCTGCTAGAGGTGCTTCACAAGGAGTTCCAGGACCTCCGAACATCTCTGGAGTTTAGTCAGGAGCAGGTGGAGCGGCTTGCGGCTGAGAACACGTCTCTGCGAGAATCGGTTTCCTCCTTGACTGCAGGACTAGAACGGATCTCCCAGGACAACAAAGCTCTAAAGGAGACGGTTCTGGATCGCCAATCATGCAGCATGAGAGACAACCTGGTGTTCGCAGGCCTTCCAGAGCAGACCGGAGGAGAAGCGGAGGATTGCGAATAAACAATCAAAAACTTCTCCAGACCCACATGAACATACCTGAGGAAATGGTTAAAAACATCACCTTTCATCCCATCTGTGGCTAAATTTGAGCCCTTTAAGCAGAAAGATATTGTTAAAAGCCGCGAGAGGGAGCTTAAAGAGCAAGTAACGTCTAAATTAACTTTTTTTTGCTGATGAACTGCATAAATGAGTGTCTAATAGTGTTTTAAATGTGTGCATTCTTTATTTTAGCATTTTGGTGCATTTTCTTTAAAAATAAAAAATTCTGTCTAAAAACCACAGTAATGCGCCACCTTCAGCTGAAAACATAGAATTTGAGTCATTTTGAATAAATTTTAGCCATTGGCTAAAGAGTAAAGTACTACGTAAACCAGTAGAGTACTACGTAGCAGCTCCGTGCCAAAGTTATAAAAGCAACGAGCGTCTCGGCCACGCCCTGTGGCGAGAGGGAGTTGGATTTGCAAGCGAGCGTAGGAGGTCAGCGGTAGTTCAGCATTAGCATATAGCATTAGCATATCCTAGTCTTTAGCATATCTTTTAGTGTTATAAATACTTATTTAGTGTTAGATTTGGCTGTTGGATATTGTAGTTTAGTTAGTGTTTGGCTGTTAGTGTAATTGGGAAAGTAGTTCGGGTTTAGTGCTCCATATCGTGTTAGTATTGGTGAGTAGGTGTAGTGTAGTATATGGTTGCGGTGACTCTGTGGGCATTTTACCCGCGATTCTGCACGCCTCCGTTTGAAGAGGGAGGCTGCCCACCGTGGCTCTTCCGCGATTTAGATGCAGCCCACCGACTCTGCTCCCCCACCACGGCGGGCTCCAGTCTGAGGTGAGTAAGCTAAATAAACGTTTTAACATCTTCTAAAGACAATTCCCTACCTAAATGCAAAGTCTGAGAGACGTGGTTCACTTCCTTTAGCTAGTCAGTCGGCAATTCTGCAACAGTGGCTCTAACTAACAGCACTAGTTGACAGACAGCATTACAGCGTGAAATCCAGCACAGCGTGACCCGGTTCTGTAAGGAATTCTGTTCAGGAGGTCACATTTCAGGCTCTCCACATCATGTGTGACTGACTTTTACGTTATAACGATCACACACTAGGAATGTTATAAAGCACCTATATAGGAGATTCTTTTGTATATTATCTGACTTTATAAACTCCTAACAACAATGTGCTTTTTTTTTCAGGCTAAATCTACCCAAGACACTGGCTGTCAGACTGATTTAGCTGCAAGAATGCACTTGTCCAGGCAGACGTGAAGCCTTACCTGTAGCAAAGGTGAATTATTTTTAATAATCTTCTATGTAAACATTTTATTATCACCTTCTAGTTTTAATTTGTTTTACAGATTATTGTTGCACGTGATTTTATGATCTTTTAAACATTTATAAATGTGCTGCTTCTTTGTTTTTACATAGCCAGCCAGAATGGAGTTCACAGCCGCAGTGTGTCTGGTGACCCACGGGGACCATGATGAAAATTCATCTTCCAGAAGGTCCCAGAGCAGCGGCCGCACCCCCTGAAAAGACCAAGGTGTGAGGTGTCTGCTGTTGATTCCAGCTTCCACCTCAGTGACAGTGCAAGCTCAGTGAACTGTTCAAGGTAAAAAAAAATTAAAACATTTCAGAATTTTTAAGATATTAACAATTAAATAAGTATGTGATTACATCATGACATCATGACGAAGGCTACTGATTCTGCCCCCGTGACACTTGGTGGTAACGTGTGAGCTGATTCACCTGGAAAACAACTTTTACATTAAATATTTTGTTTTTGCTATCAAAAGTAAATTAACTAATAACCTGCATTATTGCAGGACACTCAGCAAAATCTGGACTCTACACCATGAGGCAGGCACACGTTAATAACTCTATAAGAGCACATAAGGTGAGCAACACCACATATAGTACACTGTCCTGAATTTGTTTTCTTTCTGCATCTCATTAGCCTGGTTGATCACCTGATAACTCCTGTCATCTGATTATGACAGCACGAGGATGTCCTCACACACCTGTAACCTATCAGCTCATCTGGCAGAATAGAGAGAGAAGAGACAACACCACATCTCCTGTTCAAGGAAAGCCTTCAGCCATCCTTCGATGACTGAGAACCTCCATCAGCTCTGTCTCCTGTCTGCCTACAATTATTATAATAAATATTGTGTTTGACAAGTTTTTTGTGCTGCCAAATAGCTCATTTAGATTCCAGTTTTTATATTTTAATGGATATTTATAAATTACATTGATTGAATTATCACATTGTTGCATGTTTAACTAGCTCTATTGTGATGAATTAAACTAGCACCTCACTGTTAAAAGCTCGTTTTAATTTCAAGCATGTTTAAGTATTTATGGACATGAAAAAAAAACAGGAAATATATAAATTGAGATTTATTTAATTAATATAACAAATAAGGGGGAAAGAGTCATTGAAAGGCACATTCTTCTGGAAGCTCCTGATCCTGACAACACCAGCAGAGGAGACCAGCTGCAGACACCAGAGGACCTAGAACCAAGAGAGCAGCTGTTATTAGTAAATAAATGAATCAGGGCAGTTTTAGTGAGCTGAACACATTACAGAATAATTTTCTCATGGGGTATTTTCATAACTTTATGCAGCAGACTGTAACTTGAGCCCAGGGCTACCGGAGAGCTGCTATCCAGCACGTTTCAGTGGATTTTCCTGCTTTAACAGGTTAGATTAACTGTTAAGCAGCTCAGCTATTTGTTGCTGATTAAAACCAGGTGTGCTGAAGCAGATAAACCTCTAAAACATGCTGAATACTAGCTCTCCAGGGCCGTGGAGACAAAGCCTGCAGCTAATCTGATGCTATGGCTAATGGCTACTTACATTCAGAGGTGGTTCTGTTGAGTCGGTTCTGGGAGTTACAGGCAACTCACAAGCTCACAACAATAAGGCTCAGGTCCGCTTGTCTCCTCCAAATAGACTTGGTCCCTTTATTCTCAAGTGTCTGGGTAAGGAGGGGGAGAAACATCCTCCATTTCTAATAACTGCATAGAGTGAAGGGAGCTAGCATCGTCTAGTTAGCCGTCGTCTTCGTCACTGCCGCGGCTCCGCCCTCTCGGTCCTCCAGGCAACGCCTACTAATGTTGCATTTTTTAAAATTGATACGTGGGTGGAGTAAGACTCCGAGGCTCAATTGACCCGCTCTCGAAAGGTAAAGACTACAGCGTTAACGATCAGTTTCCTAAGGAAATTCTGGATCGCCGCCGAGTTCTCTTCACACTGCGTAAGAAGTTCATCCAGGATGGGAAGCGGGCTGTGATCTCCATAGATAAACTGTTTGTTGACGGTAAGATCTACAAAGAATGAGGAGTAACAGACTGGCTTTATTAGACAACATCAAGTACAACTTTATTATTATAAACAGCACTCTTGAACATGTCAGGATTTATAGCTGCTAGATCCGTTTAGAAATGTTCACCTGTTCCCTCACCACCTCACACCCACAACACTTTTTCTTTTCTTGCTTCTATTTTCCTTTTCTTAACCTTTATAATTCCTTTCTATCCCTTTTTTATCTGCTTCTGGATCTTTACATCTGAATGGCACAATTAGCTTCTTCTTTTTTTTTCTTTCCACACTGCAGCAACACACACACACACACACACACACACACACACACACACACACACACACACACACACACACACACAGACTCCATATGCACAGTCACACAGATAAGTAGCCTAAGGCATTTCATTGCACAAAACACTGTTGGGCTTGTCTTATTATTATTATTATTATTATTGTTGTTGTTGTTGTTGTTGTTGTTGTTTTTATTTTTATTATTATTTATTTATACTTTATCATTATCAGCAATAATGTCTTTATATTAATATTGTTAACATTTTTTGGCTACTATTATTTTTTTATTAATGTTGCAAATAATAATCATGATTATAATAATACCCTTATTATTTACTATCTATTATTTACTGTAAGATTAATGTATGTGTTTAATTACTTATTTTATCTCATACACGTGAAGGCGTCATATTATAGCTACTCACACACACACATCTATGGGTGCACTAAGGTTTGTCTCATGGAACGTACATGGAGCTGGCTCCAGAGAGAAGAGATTAAAAATATTTGATCAGTTAAAAAGAGTTCAAGCAGACGTACTATTATTACAAGAGACTCATAGATCTGCCACATCTGCAGATGAACTTAAAACACCTGAGTTTCCCAGCATGTTCTCTGCCTGCTATAACTCTAGGCAAAGAGGTGTAGCTATTTTAATACACAAAAACACCAATTTCACAGTATTGGACACAATTTCAGATCCAGAGGGTAGATTTATAATGTTAAAAATATCTATACAGACCCACAGCTCATGTATTGTCAACATATACTGTCCAAATATTGATGACCCTCCATTCTTTCATAATTTTTTATCTGTACTCTCCAAACACTTGGACTGTCCACTTATACTTGGAGGTGATTTTAATTTTTGGATGGACACTTTAACAGACAGGCTCAGTACAGCTGGGACTCAGCGCAATTGACAATCCACTAATATAGTTCACAGTACATGAGTGATTATGGGCTTTGTGATGCATGGCGATCTCTTCATCCTAACCATAGAGAGTATACTGTTTTCTCACACATCCATCACTCTCATTCACTTTTGGATTATTTTCTAGACAGCAGCTCATTGTTGGCTGACATTTCAGACACTGAGATACACCCCATAGCTGTCAGCGACCATGCTCCGATTTCTTTAACTCTGGTAAACCAGAAGACAATCCCACCAAGCAAAAACTGGAGGTTTAATACATCACTGCTTAGAGATGAATGTTTTATAGAATTTTTTAAAAAGGAGTGGGCTTTATATTTAGAACATAATGACCTGCCTGGAACATCAGCATCTGTTCTCTGGGAGGCAGGAAAGGCAGTGATGAGAGGTAAAATAACCTCTTTCTCATCACATAAGAAAAAAACAGAAAACAAACGTATTCAGGAGTTAGAGGAAATCATCAAGTCTTTAGAGGCATCCACAGAAGAAGAGTTACTGAGCAAATTACGTAAAGCTAAATAAGAACTTCTTGGAATTATTGACAAAAAGAAACAAATTTTAGCACAAAGACTACGAATAGAAAACTTTGAACACAGCAATAAATCAGGTAAATTTTTTGCTAGCCAGTTAAAAATAAAGAGAAAACTACCATATCTGCTGTTAAAGACTCAACCAGGAATATATTTTATGACCCTGAAAGAATAAACAACACTTTCAGAGACTTTTACCAAACTTTGTACTCACCACAGGTAAACCCATCAGGTAACGAGATCAATGAGTTCCTTGACAGGATAACACTTCCTAAATTATCAGACAGCCAAGCTACAGTCCTGGACTCGCCACTAACATCAGCTGAGCTGCATGAAGCCCTTAAATCCATGCCTAATAGGAAGTCTCCAGGTCCAGACGGGTTTCCAGCAGAGTTCTACAAAGAATTCTGGATCATTCCGGCTCCAACATTTTTCAGAATGGTGAGGGAAATCGTAGGAGCGGCAGATTACAGCCAAACATGAATTCAGCCAATATTAGTCTCTTGTTAAAACCAGGCAAAGACCCTGCATCTCCTTCCAGCTATCGCCAATTTCTCTTCTTAATGTTGATCTCAAAATTATTTGTAAAGCCCTGGCAAAAAGATTAGAGAAGGTAACTCCCTTTGTAATACACCCTGACCAAACTGGTTTCAGTAAGGGTAGACAGTCATCCACAAACCTGCGTAGATTACTTAATTTGATATATTTCTCTTACAGTAGAAACATAGAAACTAGTATATCATCTCTAGATGCAGAAAAGGCTTTTGATTGGGTTAACTGGAAGTTCTTAATTGCAACTTTACATAAATTTGGTTTTGGGAACTTCTTCATAAACTGGCTACAAACATTATACAATTCACCAACAGCACGTGTCAGGACAAAAAAACAAATATCAGCTAGCTTCTGTCTTCAGAGGGGGACCAGGCAGGGATGCCCACTCTCCCCCTCACTGTTTGCTATCTTTATCGAACCACTAGTGGCAGCAATTAGGCAAACAACAGACATTAAAGGGATAAAGTGTAAGAAAATAGACCATAAGATTAGTCTTTATGCAGATGATGTTTTACTCTTTCTCCAGAATTCTCAATCCTCTCTCTCCCATTCAGTAGAACTGATAAACTCCTTTTCAAGAGTTTCAGATTACTCTATAAACTGGTTAAAATCCACAGTTCTACCAATTAACTTCTCTTTTGTCAATTTGCTTAATACACAACTGGAGTCAGTGAATATCATATACCTGGAAATTAATGTCTCTCCCAAGTTGGCAGATCTAACCAAACTAAACTACATCCCACTTTTAAAGAAATTGGAAGATGATCTTGCAAGATGGAAATCCTTACTGATATCACTCATGGGTAGGGTTGCTACAATTAAAATGATGGTCTTTCCCAGAATAAGTAACTTATTTTCAATTATCCAAAACAAGCCACCAGCTGACTGGTTTAGATCTCTGGCCTCCTCAATTACTAATGTCCTTTGGCAAGATAAACATCCACGAATTAGCTTAAAAACGCTTCAGAAAATCAAAGACAGAGGAGGACTGGATTTACCCAACTTTTATTATTATTTCTTAGCCAACAGGCTGCAATATATACCAACTTGGCTGCAAGATAACCCACTAGATGAGTCCTGGTTAGATATAGAAAAGACACTTTGCAATACAATAGAGCTTTCAGACTTACCATTTATTAGCTCAAGCATAAGAAAACATGAAGGCTTCAAAAGTATTAGTATCAGCACCTCTCTGACAGCATGGTGGGAGTATCTAAAAATGACAGCGTCTTCACTAGTACCATGCAGACACACACCTATCTGGAATAATCCTGATAATTTGCAAAATAACAAAATGATGAACATTCCGGACTGGAAAAAT